GAAATAGTTTTGCACCTCCCCTGAGAATTTTTGCACCTCTCCTGAAATGTCATATGCACCTCCCCTTGAAGTTTCAATGATAGATCAAACTAAAAATTTGACATTTTTTGGTTGTTCAGGGTCTACACTTGGTAAGAAAGTCTTCCTTTAAAATTGAAACAGTGATAACCATTCATCTCTATCAAGTACCCTTTTAATAATCTATCAAGTACACCAGATTGGCTAAAAATGAATATCCCATGCAACATTTGTTATGTCACTCTATAATCTATACATTTATGCACTATCACACTATGAATGAAGATGGATGCACTTATAGTCGCATTTTTGAGCTTATTCCTACAAATTTCCCTCTGCATTTCTCCTTTAGTTTAAATTTTGGTCCTGTGGTCTGACACTTTTTCCACCCCCTGTACATGGGAGACCCAAAGACCTCCTCCATCTGGAGCTGACGGCATCTTTATAGAATGGTGTGCTCGAGTGAGCAGCTGCTCATGGGGAGAAATCTCAACACAAAGAGCAGCTATGAAGGAGACAATGCCCAGAATATTTTGAAAAAATCAAGTGCCCCAGATCGGCTAAAAATGAATATCCCATGCAACATTTGTTATGTCATATGTTATATGTTATAGTTATGTTATAGTTGCATTTTTGAGCTTATTCCTACAGAACAGGTAACATTCTTTCTATTGGTTACAATTTCCCCTCTGAAATTCTCCTTTTGTCTAAATTTTTGGTCCTGAGGTCTGATACTTTTTCCAACGCCTGTACATGGCCCACATGGGGGACTCAGGGGCCTGCTCCAGAGCACACAGCATCTTTATAAAATGTGTTAAGTTGTGAAATTGTGAATGCAAAAAGGCTTGTCAAACAAAAACATGCTCATGTTTTAAAGCAAATCTGAAATGCACTGAACCAATGCAGCAATTCTGGGAACAATGAGATGAGGATCGAAAAGAAAACTAATGTGCTATTAATTACTCTATAGTATATGGTATTAATTATAGTATTGTTTAAATATATATTTTATACTCACTATTAAGTATTTGATAGTTTTTGGTTTACCATCCAAATATCTTTGAAATACCATTACATCCAAGTATCTTTCACTACAGTATGTCCATTGTTCTGTCTTGAAAATTGAAGTTTGTTTCGTCCTTTATTACACGCCATAAAGGTGAAATATTGTATACATAAGTTCATAATCTTGAAAGAGTGCCTGGAGTTGCTAAATATCTTTGTACAAAGCCAGAAAGAAAATATGCTTTTAATAGCCCAATAATATATAAAACTTAAAAATCGTGTTTGCTCATTGTTTACATCAAATCTGAATTCACATATCTCAAGAGGAGGCGGAAGTGACCTATCCTGTATAATTTTCACTATGGCGAGCGAGCGACTGTTTCCGAGAGTATACATATTGAGATATGGCATATAGTAAAAATGCTATTGACGAACAGCCATGCTGTCGACCGGCCGAGCACAAACAAACATTCTAAATTTTAAAACAATCTATTTTTCTGGATTTCTGGTGTGCGTATCCCTCTTAATTTATTGCGAATGGGAAGTCTATAACTGTAACGCCATACCACTATATTTCATTCTACAAAATTGTAATCAAGTAAATGTCGCAAAACGAAGACTCAAAATAGTATGACAGAACTACAAACTGTGTGAGTGTCCGTATGCATATACATATAATAAAAGCTTTAAAAACATTACCTCATGATATATATTATATAAATTTTAATATTATTAGTTGACCGCTTTAGGCTATATAAGTATATTATATAGCTACATATGTATAAGAAGCTTTAAAAGCAGTATCTCATGATATATATTATATAAATTTTAATATTAATCCTTTTAGGCTATGTAAGCATTATTATATATAGCTTTTAATACGCATCAAAATATCGATTTAGCAACAATTTGAACATAATTTATAAGGGATGGTAATCTTAATTTCACGATCCGTAACCCTATCTTACCAGTGGTACCACTGGTACCATTCGACATTATTTTCAACGGTACCCAACTGCCATGACCCTTGGTTCACGGATGGTATACTTACTTTCACGATCCGTAATCATATCTTACCAGTGGTACCACTGGTACCATTCGACATTATTTTCAAGGGTATCCCAACTGCCATGGCCCTTGGTTCACGGATGGTAAACTTACTTTCACGATCCCTAATCATATCTTACCAGTGGTACCACTGGTACCATTCGACATGATTTTCAAGGGTACCCCAACTGCCATGGCCCTTGGTTTACGGATGGTAAACCTACTTTCACGATCCGTAACCCTATCTTACCACTGGTACCACTGGTACCACTCGACATGATTTTGAAGGGTACCCCAACTGCCATGGCCCTTGGTTTACGGATGGTAAACCTACTTTCACGATCCGTAACCATATCTTACCACTGGTACCACTGGTACCACTCGACATGATTTTGAAGGGTACCCCAACTGCCATGGCCCTTGGTTTACGGATGGTAAACCTACTTTCACGATCCGTAACCTTATCTTACCAACCGTACCACTGGTACCACTCGACATGATTTTGAAGGGTACCCCAACTGCCATGGCCCTTGGTTTACCGATGGTAAACTTACTTTCACCATCCGTAACCATATCTTACCACTGGTACCACTCGACATGATTTTGAAGGGTACCCCAACTGCCATGGCCCTTGGTTTACCGATGGTAAACCTACTTTCACGATCCGTAACCATATCTTACCACTGGTACCACTGGACATGATTTTGAAGGGTACCCCAACTGCCATGGCCCTTGGTTTACGGATGGTAAACCTACTTTCACGATCCGTAACCATATCTTACCACTGGTACCACTGGTACCACTCGACATGATTTTGAAGGGTACCCCAACTGCCATGGCCCTTGGTTTACCGATGGTAAACTTACTTTCACCATCCGTAACCATATCTTACCACTGGTACCACTGGTACCACTCGACATGATTTTGAAGGGTACCCCAACTGCCATGGCCCTTGGTTTACCGATGGTAAACTTACTTTCACCATCCGCAACCCTATCTTACCAACCGTACCACTGGTACGGATGCACTGTAAAATAGACACAAATCGACAACAATACCAATGGTAGATGGTAGATTTATGAAATTTACCATTCGTATCGTATCGTGGTATTGGACCATGTTCAGCAAAGTCCGTGCAATAAAGGATGCACCTGTACCCCAAAATGCCTCCGAGGTACGATCATTCTTAGGAATGCTTCAGTATTGCGGCCGATTCATTCCCAAATTAGCAGAAATTTCAGCAACACTTCGCTTACTTACACATAAAGATGTTAAGTGGACTTGGACTTCCAAACAACAACATGCGTTTGAGACCCTTCAGCAGTTGCTTACTGTAGACACAACTATGTCATACTTCGACCCCGGAAAACGTACAGAATTACACATTGATGCATGACCATTTGGCCTCGGAGCCATATTAACACAAACAACGCCAGGACATAATGATTCTAAGGTGATTGCATATGCCAGTCGGTCACTTACAGAGACTGAGAGTAAATATTCTCAAATTGAGCGCGAAGCCCTTGCTATTGTGTTTGGTATTGAACAGTTCCATCTCTATCTTTATGGACACGAGTTCACTTCAATCACTGACCACAAACCTTTGGAACTCTAGATCACGCCCGTCTGCTAGATTAGAACGGTGGTGTCTGCACTTGCAAGACTACACTTTTCAGGTCAAATATTGCCCTGGACCGACAAACCCATCAGATTATCTTTCCAGACATCCTTTACCAAATTACTACAATACGAACACCTGCAAAACGCCCAACTTAGCTGATGACCATATACGTTTTATCGCGCAGAACGCAGTTCCCATTGCATTAGGTATTGAGCAATTACGCAAAGCTGTCAAGCAAGACTCAACACTTCAAGCCTTGATTGAAATTCTCCAAAATAATACATGGAACTCACTCGCAACTAAACAACCCGATAATACCGATATCGACCTTGACGAGTTAAAAGCATTTAAAAAGATCCAACATGAGTTATCATTAACATCGGATGTTGACCTAATTTTACGAGAAAACAGACTAGTTATCCCTAAACAATTACGTAAACAAGTGATACAATTAGCTCATGAAGGCCATCAAGGTCTTGTTAAGACAAAGAAATTGATACGTGAAAAAGTTTGGTTTCCTGGTATTGATGCATTAGCTGCAAAAGCAGTGAAAGACTGCCTTGCATGCCAGTCGGTAGGACAACCTGCGAAACTCGCTCCACTAAATCCTCTGCCAATTCCTTTACAGGCATGGGACACACTCTATGTTGATTTTCTTGGACCCTTATCTAGCAAAGACCTTCTCCTTGTAGTAATTGACGGACGGACACGGTTTCCTGAGGTTGCAATCGTTCGCAGCACCAATGCAAAATCGACGATAACCTCTCTTAATCGCATCTTCGCGACACATGGTTTGCCCAGAAGAATTATTTCCGACAACGGACCACCATTCCAAAGTGAAGAATTTCGTCACTACATGATTACAAATGGCATCACACATCACAAAATAACGCCATTATGGCCGCAAGCCAATGCAGAAGCCGAAAACTTTATGAAGCCATTAACAAAATGTCTCCAGACTGCTGTCATCGACAACAAAGATTGGAAAGAAGAGTTACAGTTGTTCTTGTTGAATTACCGTGCAACACCTCACTGCACAACCAAAGTACCCCCAGCCACGGCACTCTTTGGTCGGAATATACGCAGAAAACTATCCCAACAACCAAGTCGAGTGAATATGAGAAGAGTCAACAAGCAGATAAACGAAGCCGATGCAGCAACAAAATCAAAATCTTAGAGCTATGCTGATCAACGTCGTGGTGCAAAACAACCAAACTTCAAGGTTGGAGATCAAGTTCTCGTTCGACAGCAAAAGAGGAATAAATTAACGTCGAAGTTTAACTCTAAACCATACCATATTATCAAGATTAAAGCAAACACATCGGGGGAACACCAGGTTACAAGAAACTGTTCCCATTTCAAGTTATTTACTGGAAATTCGAATACAGAACTTTCGGAGAGCGACAATGAAAGTGATGTGAGTGTGGAGGACAACGCAGTTGGTCAACCGAATATTGAAGTCGGACAAGGGAGGGGTGAACCGAGAAGAGAAATAGAAGAACCGGTAGTTGAACATCGGGATGGTCAACGCAGATATCCCCAAAGACGCAGAAACCACCCTTTACTTTATCGAGACGAACAGAACATCAGATAAACAAACAAAACAATTTGATATTTTGCTCTAACTATTTAACTTAGCATACAGTAGCTTCAAAGTTAATAGGATTCTCATTATTGAGTTGTTAGCTATCACTTCGTGATCGAACTTCAGTTTCAACTGAGCATGGGTAGGGATATTATGTTTAGTTATATGAAGTATTGATATATAGTCATAAGTCACGTGTATGGAAGACAAAAATATAGAGATACAATACAAAGTAAGTATTGAACATAATTTATACTGGTCTCGTGGCGCTAGGTCTTATTGACGATGGGTGAATTTGGTCGGTGGAGTTGAGTGCTGCAGGTATTGAAATGTAATCTGGGATGCTGCAAGTTTTTTATTTACGTTTAAGGACAGACCAAAAGCGCTTGGGATTGTTAAGCTGTTGCTAACCGAGAAGAAGAAATTCTCGCGGCTTTCACTAAGTAACCATTTAACTTCAGAACGCATTCTCTTGTATGTTTCTTGAAAATGTGCAGTAGGAGTGGCTTTCAATCTTCGTCGAATAGAGTCTTTTTACTTAATTTGATTGAGAAATATTGCCGTTGATCCATGGTAATGGATTCCTACCTTTTAATTTCTTCTTTGGAATGTATTCTGAAACGATTGAAAGAAAAGTGTTCTTCCAACGCGTCCAATCGATATCGATATTTATGTCATCACACGATTCTAAAATGGTTGAAGAGCTGGCCGTCATCGTTTTTCAAAACGTTCCGGTTACAATGAGGTCCAAACGTATCCCGGATTTGTTGCGTTTTCAAAAGTTCCCACTCTGGAGACCGTTTTCGAAAGTTTGCGGTTTCAAGTGTGTGTTTTCTCCGGATACGTGTTGACGGAAGGCGTATCTGTAACAAAATGTTTGCGGATACAAACGGATATGCGTGTGAACGGGACATATTCTAACAAGCTATTTCGTTGAATTAATGTAAAATTATATTATATTAAAAAAATTCAATCTAAGTAAGCACACAATACAAACCTTAAGAACCATTTCGAATTTGTCCAGTGGATGAGCTTTACCATCCTTTCCTAAAATTCTCATTGCAATTCCTATGCCAGCACAATTAACAACAGTGTTCAACCCCCCACACTTCTCTTTCGCATATTCAACAGCCTTTCGTACTTGGCTTTCATCTGTAACCTAAAAATTATTTTGTACTATATATCAATTGCAAATGCAGTCATAAAATTTCCCCAGTTACTGCAATTTGGATAAAACATGCACGAGTGAGTTTTTCAAAGATGCTCAAAATAGCACGAGTCCAGAGGACGAGTGCTATTTGAGGTCTTTGAAGTCTTTGAAAAACTCATGGGTGCTTGTTTTATCTAAATTTCACGAGAAACCATGGCTATTACATATTAATAAGATACATAAAAATGTTCGAGACAATTGTAGTTTTAACTTACGGTTATAGCGAAGTTTTCCTGTTTTGTTATAGCATAAGAAAGTTACAACGCTAACGCCGTAACGGTTTGAAAATTTCACTCAACTATGTAAGTTTCGTTAGTCTTGTTTAAGGTAAATAAAACTAGTCTTTTCCAAGATAAAAGCCACATTTTCCACCCGAGCTCAACATTTACTTTATGTAAAAATTGTTTTGTTTTGAAGCAATCTGTTGCCGGTACTTGAGGGCTGCTTTAAGCTGATTGGATTATTTTATATCCTATAAATTGTTTTTCCACCTATCAGATCACAGATTTTTACACTTTTGTTACAGATTCTTGCACTGCTGTTACAGAATTTTGCACTGCTGTTTGAGATTAACTGCACTTGAATCAACCAATCATAGTTGAGTAACATTTTTATGTATATTATTTTATGAAACAACTGTAAAGAACAAGGACAGTCAACTTTACGTAATATGGGTGTATGTTATCACATTGCATAATAATGCAGTTATGCAGGGTTCTCTTATCAGGCGGTAACCGAGCACTGATTAGTGATTACCACCTGGAGAAACCTAGAAATCCTATATTCAATCAGGTATTGCTGACATTACAGATTAAGGGTCTGTTCATATGATCCCACTTACCGAGACGACTTGCCTAGTGAGATGAATATTTCCGTGCGTTCATATGGAGTATTTCGTCCGGCTTGCCGAGATGAAATTACAATGTAGTTCTATAATTAGCGTATGCAAAACTTCTGCATTTCAGTCACGCAACACAAATATTTAGTGATTTTAGTGTTTTTCTTTGTTTACTTATATGAAAAAGTATTGCTTTAGGTGCATATTTAATACTTGTTTACAAAACAAACAAAAAACTAAGTAAAAAGTGTTAAATTAAACGACAAGACTTGTTTGACTTCATCCCGGTAAGCGGGCTGGCGTGTTCATATGGAAAAATTTTCATCTCGCCTACCTATGATCTCGGCAAATTCAAGCAAGATCTCGGCAAGCGGGCCAGCTCGCTTTCTCATATGAACACAATGCAAAATTTTGTAGGAAAATAGCTAGGAGGCGAGATCATCGGTAAGCGAGGCGTCCCGGTAAGCGGGATCATATGAACAGGCCCTTAATACAGAAATGTCCTATAACCCGATTGATGAAAATGGATGTTTATATTATCAACGCAGTGTGGGCCTGAGGATTGAGTAATTAAATAGCTATAAAAGTTTATTTAAGGCTTCTTGTTGTAAACACAGTTTTGTGCAAATGATATGTTTCAAATATAATCTTTAGTATTCTGCTTAAGGAGAATGCCGATTTATTATTGGCTCCTATAACAAGCATTATCAACTCTTCCTTTAGCGAAGGGCGTCTCCCTCCATCATGGAAAAGTGCCGATATTGTTCCTATTCCTAAACAGAAACAAGTCCGGGATATTAACAAAGATTTACGCCCAATATCGTTAACACCGGTTCTATCCAAAGTAGCCGAAGAGTTTGTTGTAGAGGAGCATGTGCGACCGGCTGTAATAAAGAAGATAAACGATAACCAATTCGGATGTATACCGAAATCTTCCACTACGCAAGCTTTACTCAGCATGGTGCATACTTGGACCAAACATACTGACGGGTCTGGATCAGCAGTGCGGGTCGTACTTTTCGACTATAAGAAAGCATTCGACCTGATAGACCACAGTATCCTGGCTTCTAAGTTGTCCACCCTCAACTTACCGCATTCTATCTTGAGCTGGATATTAGACTATCTTAAGAATCGCAAGCAAAGGGTTAAACTTGGTCAGGACTGTAAATCTGAATGGGGTGATATACCAGCAGGGGTACCCCAAGGGACCAAGCTGGGCCCGTGGCTTTTCGCCTTAATGGTCGATGATATCGATGTCACCAACACAGATCTATGGAAATATGTAGATGATACTACAATCGCGGAAAATGTTGCAAAGAACCAGGCAAGTAGAATCCAAGACGATGTTAATGAGCTTATAACAAAATCGGGTGAGAATAAATTCCAATTAAATGAAAAAAAGTGTAAAGAAATGCGAATATCGTTTGCAAAGTCGCCTGCAGATTTCAACCCAATCATCGTTAACGGAAAAGCTATCGAGCAAGTTTCATGTGTCAAGCTACTTGGATTGAATATTACGAGTGACCTGAAATGGAACCACCATATATCGGAAATATCGCGGAAAGTGTCCAAAAGACTCTACTTCCTCAGACAATTGAAGAGAGCAAGAGTCGCAAATAAGGATCTGGTAATCTTTTACATCACATGCATTCGGCCCGCCATGGAATACGCCTGCCCTGTCTACCATAATTCACTGCCCAAATATTTGTCTGATGAACTTGAAGCCCTACAGAAGCGTGCCATGAGAATTATTTTCCCATTTGTTTCATATTTTGAAGCATTAGAACTCGCTAAATTAGAGACAGTGTATATTCGTAGACAGACTCAAACAACTAACCTTTTTCAGGAAATTAGTAATAATTCAGAACATAAACTATATCGATTTTTACCGAAGTTAAATAAATGTAATTTTAAGCTTAGGAATACTCGTAACTTTCAAGTTCCTGTCTGTAAAACTAACAGACTTCAGAACAGTTTTTTTTATAGTAATTGTACATAGTTTAGTCGTACTTAGATCTTTTAATTGTATTTTTGATGTTATTGTAAATTCCTAATCTAATTCAGCTCAATTTTGGCTGTAAATTTTGGGATCATTAAACTATCTATCTTATCTATCTATCTATCCATATACACTCAGAGTAACATCACAGGCATCATATTCACCTGAGTACATTACACCAACACAGAAAAATCATGAATAATGGTATATTAATTTTGTTTTGCGGCTGTGTTACTGAAACCATCAATACAGAAGTTTTCCTGGATATTTTTTAATTGCATGATTGCATAAAAAGCATACGAGAATATAATTTCTAGAGCTGTGCAATTCCAAAAATTTTATCTCGGTTCCGGTTCTTTTGGAACAGAAAAACCTCGGTTCGGTTTCGGTTATTTTCAAAAAAGAAGAAGAACAGTACAAATGTATCAACTCATTTATGTATGTTTCGAGTATTTTTACTAAATAGATGAACTTATGCCTTTGTAAGTTTGTATAAATCTCTGAATATTTTAAAACAACAATTGGAATTTATTTATGAAGATGAAATATTTCTTTTTAAAAAAAATTTCAAGCAAGTTGAACCATCAAAACTGAAATATATATATATATATATATATATATATATATATATATATATATATATATATATATATATATATATATATATATATATATATATATATATAAACTATTTGAGCATTTAGTACAGTGCATATTGTGCCCTAAGAGCACAATCTTGTTATTTTACAAACATTTCAACCTGCAATCAGGTGGGCGTTTACTACCGGTTCTTCTGCAGCGTATCATTTTTCGGTGCTAAAAAAAGTACCGGAAGAACCGAATTTTTCGGTTAACCGCACAGCTCTAATAATCTCTCCCTGAAATACAAACTAAACATGCAGAAGTTTGTCTCGACAGAGGACACCGTCCGTTTGCTGCGTTTAAACGCAGATGATTATAAGCTGATCTTTTCTTTGCCAAAATTTAACCAAACGAACATCTGCATCTACTATGAACCGGGCGATTTTAATTGAATTCTACAATGAATAAAATTACTTAGCTGCTACACGTCTTCAGTGAAGTTGGCATACGCCAGTCCTAAAATGAACAGTTCCGAGTGATTCCGATTACTCTCGGTGATTTAGCGATCGTGAACGCCGGCCGCCGAACTTTCGAGCTGCTTTTGAATATATTAGGATTGTAGGAGCCAGGGCCTGGTGACGAACCTATAAAAGATTGAAATGGTTAGTTTTCAACAATGATGGTGGTGCTACATCTTTCAATATTTGACTGCAAATACCAGACCACTCCATATAATCAGGGAACTGAGAATTAACATTTCCTCACTCGAATCACAAAACCCCACACAACATAGCCAGCGCGCAGACTATATAATATGTCATTATATAGTCTGCGCGCAGGCTACACACAACAGTGAATCAGTGATTTACAATGGGTGATTCCGGCTATATAGACTAAATTTTGATCAAGGCAAGAAGAACAAAATCCAACACCACAGCTAGAAAGAGCGTCTTAGAATGAGTGAAACTGCAAAGATTGGTTGCTAAATGTTGTAAAATGAAGAAAATATAGCCCTGTGAAGTTAGCAAATTTTGTATATATTTGTATTACGCGCGGGAAAAATAACCACTTTCGGCTTAAAAACGGTTATTTTTACCGCGCGTAATGCAAATATATACAAAATTTGCGAACTTCACAGGGCTATATTTTCCTCATTTTACAACAATTCGCAACCAAACTTGGCAATTTTACTAATTTTAAGATGCTCTTTTCAGCGATGGTAATGGATTTCGTTCTTCTTGTATAGATCAAAATTTCGTCCATACCTGAAATCATTCATTGCCAAATCTTACCATTCCTTGGAATGAAAGGGAGAGTTCCTTGTCTCCGGCCTTGTTGTATGGTGAAACTTGGAGAATTCGCAAGAATTTTATTTTGACTTCGTGACCAATCATAACGACATGGACTCGGGAAGCTTTTTGCATCTGAAAATAATATTGTTAATCTGTTTGAACATTTTCATTGTCAGCAGAACAAAATCAGTCATTGAAAAATAATGCTTCACCAACCTTTGGAGACCAGTGAGAATTCCTTGCGTGTGCCAATAGTGTGTGAAGGAGCTGTATGTGACGTGATCTGTGGCCAGCCTAAGGTAGGTCTTGGCACATGATCTGAAGGAGAGGGCCATTTATTGTTTGAATCAAAATCTGTTCTTATTGACCAGCGACTGCCGTTACTAAACCACTCTTTGCCCCAGGAAACTCGATCACCACCGGCTAAAATAACAAGGACGTGTATTTCAAGACCACTGCCTACACTGAGAACTAACACTTTGAAATTTAGACTGCTGTGAGAATCTACCACAAAGGAAATGTATTTCAATACCACTAGTACACTACTACACTAAGAACCAACTGTTTGAAGTTTAGACTAGGGAGAATCTACCACAACGGACGTGTATTTCAAGACCACTATCTACACTGAGAACCAACTGTTTGAAGTTTAGACTAGGGAGAATCTACCACAACGGACGTGTATTTCAAGACCACTATCTACACTGAGAACCAACTGTTTGAAGTTTAGACTAGGGAGAATCTACCACAACGGACGTGTATTTCAAGACCACTATCTACACTGAGAACCAACTGTTTGAAGTTTAGACTAGGGAGAATCTACCACAATGGACGTGTATTTCAAGACCACTATCTACACTGAGAACCAACAGTTTGAAGTTTAGACTAGGGAGAATCTACCACAACGGACGTGTATTTCAAGACCACTATCTACACTGAGAACCAACTGTTTGAAGTTTAGACTAGGGAGAATCTACCACAACGGACGTGTATTTCAAGACCACTATCTACACCGAGAACCAACAGTTTGAAGTTTAGACTAGTGAGAATCTACCACAACGGACGTGTATTTCAAGACCACTATCTACACTGAGAACCAACAGTTTGAAGTTTAGACTAGTGAGAATCTACCACAAAGGACATTTATTTCAATACCAGTCACCACTACCTACACTGACAAGCAAGAGTTAGAAAGCCCACCTTTTTCGGGATATGTTTTCGGTCTCATGGTATAAGCAGGGAACGTGGTCATATTAGGAGGGTCAGTAGGTGGGTTGTAAGCTGCGGGGGAGGGTGTGTCCAGGTTTAATGACATGTACGGTCGAGATTCATCCTCCTCTACACAAAGAAATAAAAGAAATGATAATACACCTAATCAGATGACGTATGTTTACGAGCGTAAGCTCGCATGCCTAGTTACATCTGTTCTGATAATCTAGGCATTGAATGGAACAAATATCATCAAGCATTTGATGGTTTATGCTCTTTGGCACCCAATTTTTGCAAATGACAAACATGGCTTGTTACCACCGTTTTGATATTGTAGAACAAAGATCATCAAGCATTTGATGGTTTATGCTCATTGGCACCCAGTTCACATTTGCAGATGAAACACATGGCTTGTTACTACCGTTTTGATATTGTAGAACAAAGATCACCAAGTGTATAAATTTCTATGCTAGAAGTGAAGTGGGTATGAACGGGCATAGATTAACAGATTAAATCAAGGCACAATAATTTTTATATTAGAGAAGTTTGTCCACCTTGTTCTTTCTGTTTCTTTTGCATTTTGTCATGACGGAATCTTGTATAAGATCTGCAAAGAAAACATTTTAGTAATTTCACCTCACATGTGAGAAAAGTGCGTCAAGCAAGTTTAACCAAACACCGTATAGCTTTTCTCTGAATGCATAAAGGAAAGGCTCTAGAATGATAGGGTTAAATCCATCATAACTTTCAAATTACCAGCTATGGAGGCCAGTATAAGATGAGGCTGGACACCCACCTTGTACACAGGCTTATTCTTGTGGGCAATAAACTTCGTTCTTGATCTTGCAAAAGCCCGGGAACACGACTACCACCAAGCTTTCCATGTTTTGTCCATTGCTTATAATGTCGGTCACTTTGCACAGACATCGAGGCAGTTCACCACAAAGCTGGAAATCACGATGACACAGTGTTAGTGCATGTGTGACCAAGTCACCAAGGTTTAATTTCTGCAATATACCATTGTCTGATTATAGTTTCATTTCAGTCACAATTGGAAAGAGTGCTTGCAGTTTCACTCCGTGAAGTCAATTTTCTTCTGGTACTTCGGCTTTCTTCTGTGAAAGCAATGGCTCATCGCCTTTAATGAACTCTCGAAAGAACAATTTAATAGTTATCTGGTACTATGACTACTATAAATATTATATAAATTCTGGCCGAAGTTGCAGTAAAACAGTTCATTACACAGACAGTATACAGACATTATAAACAAAATTCAACAAGCTAATCCACTTTTCAATCCTATCTTAAATTAAACATAAAATAAAAGGCACATAATGAAATAAAATATATATACACTTACGTACTAGAATTTCTTGTCTGGTAATATTCCACTACGCTTTTACCCTAGCAACAACAAACTTCAGATATCATTAGCATACGGTTTTCTATTCAAATGTTAATCATCATTTGACACCTTCAAACATTAAACACACAATATGTGTGGTGTATAAATTAGAAAATTTACATATAAATTTGTACAAAAACCGAATGGCTCAAACGGATTTCTTTCTGTTTTGTTTGGCTGTTCAGAGATATGTGCATGTTATATGACACTCTGAATTCATGAAACTTGAGATTTATAAAAAACATAATTAACAGATGACCCTCACTGGACCTCCAGAGAGAACAGTTAATTGAGCTGTCCAGTATAAATAAAGTTAGTTTAGTTTAGGTTTCCTCTTGTAGTAACACTGGATTAATAAGAGATGACCCTTACTAGACCTCTAGGAAGAACAGTTTAGAACTGATAGAGTTATCCAGTATAAATAAAATTAGTTTAGTTTAGGTTTCCTCTTGTAATAACACTGGATTAATAAGAGATGACCCTTACTGGATCTCTAGGAAGAACAGTTTAGAACTGATAGAGCTATCCAGTATAAATAAAGTTAGTTTAGTTTAGGTTTCCTCTTGTAGTAACACTGGATTAATAAGAGATGACCCTTACTGGACCTCTAGGAAGAACAGTTTAAAACTGATAGAGCTATTCAGTATAAATAAAGTTAGTTTAGTTTAAGAGATGGTTAATCTTACTGAATAAGGAGAATAGTTTTGAACTGATAGAACTATTCATTAGAAATAAAGTTCAAGTAGTTTTATATATATTAATATAGTATCTCATACAGTATATCAATAAATAATAAGAACAAATTCGTTACAATTGTCAGTTGCGCGAGAATCTTAACATCATTATCAGACCTTTCCAGTTTTACCATTACTTGTTCAGGGGTGTGATAGCTCTAAAATGGACGTTCATTTATTTCAATCATTTCATTTCTTCATCTAATGAGGAAACGACGGAAAGTTGTCGCCCAAAACTAAAAATAATTGAAATAAAATGAGTCAACGGTCATTATTTCAAATGATCCCCGGTGAAGCTTCATAAAAATCATCTATAAATCTTACTTACTTCTGGAAGGAGGTCTGAATCTCATCAACCTTCGAAGGATGACAACAAATGGCACAGTTAGATTGCTCTACTGAGAACAGTCGAGTGAAATATTTCTCACCAACTTTTCTCAAATCTTCCAACGAAACTTTAGAAATCTTTTCTAACAGACGTCTGGAAGAAAAAATTAACAAAAATTCATGAATTCCAACAGCAACTTTCTTTTATCTCTTTCGGTAATTTTTTAAAAACTTCATTACTTATTGTGGTCTTTTCCAACATTTCTTAACTGCGACAAAAGATTCTAAAACGTGAAAAAATATGTATGATTTTATAATATAACTGACGGGTTATTTTATTTATACTAGATACTGTAGCTCTATAAATTCTAAACTGTTTTCCCTATAGACGTTGTATTTGTTACTACAGGAGGAAACTAAACAAAACTAAACTAAACTAAACTAAACTAAACTAAACTAAACTAAACTAACTTTATCTATACTGGATATCTAGATATCAGTTCTAAACTGTTCTCCCTAGAGGTCCAGTAAGGGTCATCTAGGAAGAAGATTTAGACCTGGCAAATTTCCACAGCTTGCTGTTCTTAAGTTTAAGGTACTGAACTTTATTTATACTGGATAGCTCTATCAGTTCTAAACTGTTCTTCCTAGAGGTCCAGTAAAGATCATCTCTTATTGCTCCAGTGTTACTACAGGAGGAAACCTAAACTAAACTAACATTATTTATACTGGATAGCTCTATCAGTTCTAAACTGTTCTTCCTAGAGGTCCAGTAAGGATCATCTCTTATTGATCCAGTGTTACTACAGGAGGAAACCTAAACTAAACTAACTTTATTTATACTGGATCTCCTCTATCAGCTCTATTAAGTTTCCTCACCTCAAAAGCAGCATCACCAACAGACTCCTCCTGCCCAATGATTTCAAATATTACACTACTGATCGCGGACTCCAACTGGACTGCATCATATGGGACATTACCAGAGAGATAGTCATTCTAGAGACAAAACATGCGAGTCACATAACACTTATTATAGTGAACAATGTTTCCCAGCACAAGGGCAATATATAGAGAGAACAATCTAGTCAGTCTGGTAATAGATTTTCGTTTACGATTGACCACCATGTGCTACACTAGGGGGGGGGGGGGGTGGGGACACCCCCAAAGTTGTAATATTGCAGTATTGTCAGCAATTTTAGCAAAACAGCTTACACCTCCCAGCCGTAATACTTCGCCCCTTGGTGAAACCCAGCTGTAACCTTACCATGATTTCCTGCGCTTTCTCATATGCCTTCACAAGATGACTTGCTTTGAATAAGACGAAATATATCAACCCTTGTTCAGGATCACAAAACATACTGGAAAAGAAAATGTTAGATTTTTGGTTTGTCAACCATAACCACATTTGCTATAGGTGAACGGACCTTTCTATACAACAAACTCAACAGAAACTCGATAATAAATTACAATCTAAAGTGCCATTTCTAAACCATCATAGTACTATACATATTCCATACCTGTAATGATATGATAGTCCTAAACCACGAATCGTACGCCACATCGGACCCTAGAAATATGTAGCATTAAACTGCGTGAAATTTTCTCTGAAACACCAAAATGTCATGCTGAATGTCTGATCATAATTTGGCCATCATAAAGTTAGTTTAGTTTAGGTTTCCTCCTGTAGTAACAATGGATCAAAAAGAGATAATCCTTATTGGACCTCTAGGAAGAGCAGTTTAGAACTGATAGAGCTATCCAGTATAAATAGAGTTAGTTTAGTTTAGGTTTCCTCCTGTAGTAACACTGCATCAATAAGAGATGATCCTTACTGGACCTCTAGGAAGAACAGTTTAGAACTGATAGAGCCATCCAGTATAAATAAAGTTGGTTTAGTTTAGGTTTCCTCCTGTAGTAACACTGGATCAATAAGAGATGATCCTTACTGGACCTCTAGGGAGAACTGTCTAGGACTGCTATCCAGTATAATATTCAAGGTACAGTAGCTACCATAAGCTGTAAATTTACCTCCAACGCAATCATGTACTCCATGAAGACCAAGATGGGAGCAAAATCAGGATGAGTAAAGCTATCGATGCCACGACAACATTGCACAAGGAAGGATGACTCGACAGAACCCACTCCAACAATCTTACTTTTAACATCACCTTCACGAAGACATGCACTCACGTTCTGTAAATCTAGCAAACTTGAGAGAAAACATAATGCCAGGATTAGGGTTTAATATGACGAGGATTGGTTTAAATTTAGGATTAAAGTTTCAGACTTAGGATTAGGGAGTTAGGGTTAAGATTATAGGATTACGGTGGGGATTAAGCCTGGTTCACACTAGCATTCTGTTCGTCGATATTTCTCCTCTTGGCAAATGTGATGGAACGAATGACATGCAAAAGACTTAGAATTGTTTACTTCTGAAAGCGACTTTATACTTTTGTGTGTGAGTTCACTCATTTACATCCGTTAGAAACACAAAATCGCCGACAAAATTGCTACTGTGGACCAGGCTTTAGAGTTATGATAAATGTTAGGACTAAGCGTTAAGGCCCGTGTTACACTTGCGTCTATTCTTCTCATGGATGTGAACGAGCAGATGTATTATGAACGTTCAGATAAGGAGTACATATACTTAGAACATTCATAACTCATCTGCTCTTTCACGTGCATCAGAAGACGAAAATCGCACTGGAAATCGCACTAGAAAATCAGAAATAATTTTTAATCAGAAATAATTTTTTTCGCACTAGAAATCGCAGCGAAACTTGCAAGTGAAACGGGGCCTTTAGGGCTATCATCAAAGTTAAGATAAGAGTTAGAATTTAGGTTAAGATTGAAATTATTGTTTGGGTAAGGATAGGATAAGACCTTTACACAAGTATAGTTGTTATATTCCGATAACACTAGTTTAGAAAATTCTTCTTCACTTACTGTTGAGCAGGGGCTGCTGGTATTCCTGGTACAAAACCACTCTCCCAAATCTCGTTGGCTTTCTCGGGCAGGTTCTTCACATTTGTAGTCACGTGGACACGTACGTTGTTATGATTCGTCAGTTTTTCCCGCAGTTGAGATAAGTCCGAAATGACCTGATATGAAAATATAATGTATACAAGTTACGTCATTCAAGTTTCACCACAGAAATCATAGATATAAAATGCGTATTTGATCAGAATTACGCCTCCACTTTTTCTCGTGCGTGTCCTATTATATCCGTCATATTGAAATCCGCGCGAATTTCCCTGCCGCACGAGTCTGGGCGAGTTTAAACACCCAAAATTTTGAGCGAGAAAAGACAGGAGTACGCATTCTATATCCATTATTTCTACGAGTTTCACTAAAACACTATCGTGCAGCAGATGGTGGTTAACCTGCAGTTATCAGAGTGAGAAAATAATGTTCATTCTTTCATTATATATAGTAGTCTTGTATTTGGAGGAAAAAATTAAAAGATGTAGTTAAATTTTCTTGCTCTTGTCAGTGTCAACATTTCTAAAGTTTGACCACCATATGCTTGTCATGTAACGCTGACTCAATCAATCGATCGATCAGTTAATCAATAATAAATAAATTAATCAATCAATCACTAATGAACCAATTAACTAATTAATCAATCAATCAATCAATCATTAATCAATTGATCATGACCACAATTACCTTATCAGGATTGCTTTTTGCTTCTTTCAATATTTTGTTCAAGAATTGTTGCTGATGAATGAAATTGCAGAAACGGTAAGGACTCTCTAGGAAAACACGTCAGCAATGGTAAATTAGGGAAACAATTTCCTTACTAGATCTTTCAGATGGAAAATGATTAAAACACCACTGTACATGGTACGAGAAATTCTCAGAGACGTAAAGTAGACACAACAAAAACATTTTACTCACGAGAAGAAAACGTGTTATCTTTAATCAAGGCAGTGACAACATTCCGTCCAGCACGTTTCATTCTAAATTACAACGAGAAATTTAGCAAACTCTGCCGGTGTACTCCAGTATAGAAAGGTCAGGCAGTCCAGGATAAAAAAGTTTAGTTTACTGTGATATCTAACTCACTGTGTAACTTCCTTGATCATTTTCTTAGCAACGACATTAATTCTTTCCACAGTAAACTGGGTATTGTACAGCAAGTCACGAAGTAGTTCAATAGCGACGGTGTATTTTTCCATTTCAATCTAAAAATGCAAAATTATGGCATATGTGGCTTCGCGGTTACACCTCTGTAACCGAGGTTTGGAGAAATGACCTTACTGGACCTCAACGAGAAACAGTTTAGAACTGATAGAGGTATCCAGAATAAATAAAATTGATTTAGTTTAGGTTTCCTCCTGTAGTAACACTGGATCAATAAGAGATGACCCTTGCTAGACCTCTAGGAAGAACAGTTTAGAACTGATAGACCTATCCAGTATATAAAGTTAGTTTAGTTTAGTTTAGTTTAGTTTAGTTTAGTTTAGTTTAGTTTAGTTTAGTTTAGTTTAGTTTAGTTTAGTGTAGTTTAGTTTAGTTTAGTTTAGGTTTCATCCTGTAGTAACACTGGAATAATAAGAGATGACCCTTACTGGACCTCTAGAAGAACAGTTCAGAACTGATAGAGCTATCCAGTATAAATAAAGTTAGTTTAATTCAGCACCTTAAACTTAAGAACAGCAAGCTGTGGAAATTTGCCAGGTCTAAATCTTCTTCCGTTCAGTCCGAGTGAAGTGTCATGATCCAAGGTATCTTGTGTCAGTTGAGCGACGATTTCCTCGTGTGATACAAGAACTAGGGAATAATAAGATGTATCAATATAGGACACCTTAAAGTGAACTAATGTTGTACAGACCTCGTTGTTGAGTTGTGGTTAGATCATACAGAGCTAGTACTTCAGTAGGAGAAGCTCACCTCCGTTCCTCAATACAGGGGACTCTAGTATCACTGCAATATATAGACTGAGATAGTCTTTCAAATGTTCAGGTAGAACACTCGTATCCAGAAGAACAGTTAGCTAGAAATGAGAACAAAATAAAATAAAAGCTAAAAAATGCGAGTGGTCGTGTTGATCCAGCAAACATTAGAGAGGTTTAGATTTGAACGCTACCGTTAGCAATCATTAACCAATCAGATGCCTTAATGTATCCGATTGACCAATCAAATGCGTACCAGGGCAGCGAGAGGTAGTGAAAGTCAAATTGAAGCCCTCTGTTATCATATGATGAACTATAACTTCAGTCCCACCTCAATAAACAAAGAGGAGATATGATCCAATTGAAAGGAATACGGAATATTGGTAACCGGGACTTTTGAAGTGATGACGTCATCCGATAATTTCCCAAGATTACTTGCGGTCTTCACTTCATGAAAATTGATACTTGCGATCGAGGGTATTGGAAGACTGCTGACCACCTCTGATGGTGGCTCAACCTGAATAAAGAATATTCACAGTGGTTATTTGCGGTTGTCTCATTAAGCCTCACGTTTTATATCTGATAAAACACTCCTGCTCATGTTTTAAATAGTACATAGACAGTTTAATATCTGAAGTTTCTAAATTTCTAACCCCGTTTTCCTCGTTTGCTTTTTTTAATCGTTCTCCACGTTCTTTCAGACCATTCGGTCCCAGTCTCTCCTGCTGTTGCTTCACGCGGTCTTTCTCAGTCTCTGACATTTCAGTCATTAACTTCTGACTTGGTTCGCCAATCACCTGCAAGGAATATGTCATGTGACTGAAGAGAGATTCACATGAAGATAGAGGCTCGAATTATGAAGCTTAAATTTTTGGGTCGTCAAAGTATTGGGTCGGAAATTAAGAGACTCAAATTATTGGGTCGACTCCACCAAACGCTGTCGTATCTGAAACTTCCATAGATATTTTACTCAGAGTAACATCACATACAAAATATAAACTTACTGTAACAGATGTCGCCTTTACAAAATATTTATCTAAAAATTCAATCCAAAAATCTTCGGTCTGCTCAGTCAATTTCTTTAAGTGACGAATTGTATCAACTTTATCTAAAAGCTAAAACGAGAAAAATAGTTAATCATGAAAGCCAACCGTTTGAATTTGGTATTGGAAAGACAATATAAAGCTTAGGGTGTATAATATGTAGTGTGTAAAATACCTGGTCTGGTTGAGTGGAATACAGAAAATCTCCGATGCAAAAGCCAGCAAATGTATAATGAGGTTTATCCTCGATCTATAACAAATTGACAAATTTGCAATTAATTAATTAAAAAATTAATATAATTATCATTATTATTTGTAAGTAATTAGAAACGACTTCATTATAATCTTCAGAAATCCAGCGATGTTCTCTTTATATAATACCTTGTCCATCGCATCCAAAATCTCTCTATGAATAACTGCTGCCATTCGTTTCATGTCTAACTCAACTTTTCTGCCAACTACATCTTGAATAGCCTTTGTTATTCTAGCATGAACATAACAATGTTTAGAATGAAAGATATGAATAAGCTAATTGATCTTAGACTGGGTAGGGCGTTGATAACACAGTGGTTGTTAGAGCAATAGAGCAGGATCCATTCCTGTTATGTGCAGTTGTCTCTCATAATCTCATTTCATTTTCATCTCAGCCAAAAGTTGAATGACTGCTTCCAGTCAAACACCTCGTATCCGGTTTCTGGGCTACAGGAATAAGCGTTTTGAAGTGACAAAGTTCACCTGACGATTTACCTTGGTACGACTTCATCCAGTTTCTCCGTGGGAACATTCTCTGCCGTGATATAAAGACATCCCTCAGAATTTTCAATAAAATCAAAACCCACATCGCTGCAATAAGGATCTGGGCATTCCACTAAGATTTGTTGAAGAGTGGCCACAGGAGAATCGGTGAGATATGTCATGATCACTTTCATGGCTTGGATTGAAAAATCATCCTGGAAACGGAACATGATATGAGACTTGTAGTGTCGTGGTCAAGTTGGGAGACCTGGGTTCAATCTCTGCTTGGACCTCCACTCAAGGTCTTAAAATAATTGAAGAGGAGGTGATACCTTTACATTGATATGAGTAAATGGTTAGACATTCGCGTCTTCTCGGATAAGAACATTAAATTGTGGGTACCTCGGATCCCATATTAATTGGGAAATCCGCTCACCAACGAGTGAGAATTAAACTAAACCAAACATGTTTTGCTACTCTGATCCCCAAACAGATTACATTCACGAACCAAAGTTTCAACACTGCAGTCTAGCATCTTCATGCAATCAGATTTATCATGTTTCGCTATTCATATGTCTTCTACATTTGCACTGGTAGACAATACTTACTGTTGCTTTAGGACCACGGTAGCCAATCAGAGCCAAGCCTGTTTCTTCGTCATCAGAAGGAAATTGAATTTTAGTTGTCACTGATTCTTCTAAATCTGGAACAGCGCTTTGCCACGGTCTCACATGAGGCGGACGTTCAATCTGAAAGCAGTGTTTGTGGTCTAGTGGTTAGTGCACTCACATAAACACTTGTCTCATCATAATTTCACCTCAGTCACATGTGAGAAAAGTGAGTTTATCCAACACTACCGGTATCTCCAATGGATCAATAAGAGATGATTCTTACTGGACCTCTCGGAAGAACGGTTTAGAACTGATAGAACTATCCAGTATAAATAAAGTTAGTTTAGTTTAGGTTTCCTCCTGTAGTAACACTGGATCAATAAGAGACGATCCTTACTGGACCTCTAGGAAGAACATTTTAGAACTGATAAAGCTATCCAGTATTAAATAAAGTTAGTTTAGTTTAGGTTTCCTCCTGTAGTAACACTGGATCAATAGGAGACGATTCATACTGCACCTCTAGGAAGAACATTTTAGAACTGGTAGAGCTATCCAGTATAAATAAAGCTAAGTGGTGGAAACAGGACTCGTAACATGATAAAACACTAATAATAACACGTTAAAATAGATGTTGTGTAAAAAGTTCGCAGTAACTAACTTTAGAAAGTATTTTCTCCTCAAATGACTTGATTCTTTCAAAGACATCCTCTGGTTTCACTTGTCCAGTGATTAATAAACATAAGTTCTCAGGACGATAAAACTCATGATGGTAGTCGCAAACCTTAAATACAACATGGACCCATTTTAAAAACAAAAATTGAGTAAAAGGGAAGAAACACCTCTAAATAATTTCAAGAACATAATTGTTTGCGCAGTGTACGATAATTTAGTTTAGGTACTGTATGTAGTTCAGAGTTGTGTACCTTTTTGTGACTACAAGATGTTCTTAGGTTTTCCATTATTCCTCCCGTCTCTGACTAAAATGATGTACACAAAATGTATAAAAAGTACAAACAGGGTATTGTGTAGTGTATAGTGTATAAAAGTACAAACAGGGTAAACTGGGTAATGAAAAACGAAGTGCCATTTAGCTATTTCAATTTGATCACCTTTAGTTTTAGTTTTAATAAACTTTCGTACCTTTATAGATAATAATAGTAATATATTGAATTTATATTGCGCATGTTAGCATGGAAATAAGTTCACATGCGCATTACAATAATGAACCTAACACTACTCATATCTATAAGTATACATGATAAAATATTGTTAAAATAGATCATCCAAGACCTAAAAGCTAGTCTAAATAAATATGTCTTCAATGCTGTTTTGAATGACAAAAACGAGTTAATGCAACGAATATTAGCGGATAAACCGTCCCAGAGTTTTGGAGCAGCCGACTGAAATGCTCTATCACCAAGTGTAGCGAAACATTTTCCACTAGGTGGTGTAAGAGATAGGCTATCACATGATATCACACTATATCTAGAGTTTGTCCTAATAGATATAAGTCTCAGAAGGTATTGAGGAGCTAAACCATATATACATTTAAAAGTCAACAAGACAATCTTAAATCTTAGATAAACTTTATTTAAACACGCTGACCCCATCAACTGAAGCTGATTTCCATGAGGGGCGTTAAACAACAGAGCAAGCTCCAATCAAGGTTTAACTCGGTTTAAGGTTACAGGACACCTTTTTTGGCGTTTTGCGGAAAATCGCTACTGCGCGCTCAATATCAGTCCGATATTCATCAAATTTTCACCAAATGTTCTCCAGTGCATGCAAAATATGGTAAAGTTGTAAAATTAACAAACAATAAAATAATGTAAGAATTATTCAGGAAAATCTTAAATCGCGGTACCGTTACGCTTTTGAGTTATGCTCCTGCTGGTTTTAAGTTATATTTATGAAAATATCATTTTTATACAGTAAAATAGTTGTTCTAAAAAATTGTGTTCGGAAATTTTTGTTTATTTCGTCATTCCGCTGATATGGCGATTTCTTTGACGACTGCAATATATTTCTGAATTGTTTGAATGAATTGCTCTTTATTTTTAAAATATCCAAAATTTAAAAAAAGCCGAACAGAATTTTGAAACTGACGTCTTTAGCTATGTCCTGTGAAAATTTGAGAAAAATTAGTTAAAACCCGCAGGAGCACAACTCGTTTGAAAATCAGTAATTACCGTAAACTTTTTCGGGAGAAAATTGAATTTGAATATTACATTTTCAATGTTTTTCTTATTGCAGCGAAATGTATTTTATTAAATAACTCTGCGAGTTTTCAACATTGTTCGTTCAAACTTGGTCAGATAGTAGAACTAGTCTAATGCTTTCATGGAAACCAATAAATTTTTTTTGGGCAAAATTAACACTCAAAGGTGTTCTGTAACCTTAAGGTTTACTTTTAAGGTTTACCTTATATCCACAGTGACCAGAATAGATATTTCTAAGTAATGTAAGATGTGTGCGACTTTCTCCCGAGTTCTCTCTGGCTTGCATTTCACAGTAGACCACTCCAGCATTCTCGCCTTCCGCATTGATATGGTGTACCTCTGTGAGATAGGCTGACTCCTAGAGATCATAGGTTTATAAGCACACCATGCTTTTGCCAAGAGCAAAGCCAAAGGTCACATAATTCAGTCACTGTTTGTGGTCACAGTGGGAATTTTTTATACTGTAAATACAGTAAACACTGAGTCAGTTCCCTCAAATATTTCCTACAAATCTTTCAAAACTTAGAATTTGCCTACAATGCAAAATTCCTTTGATAGTGTGTACCAGGATTTATAGCATATCTTGCTTGAAATGAAGAACGACAATCAACACTGTTACACCATGTTCAGGTGATTTCAAGCAAGAACATCTGATGCTACACTGTATAATGGATGTTGTGATGTTACTCTGAGTGTATATCCACACCAGGCAAGCTTGAAAAATATGCCTGACCACGGTGGGAATCAAACCTAAGACCTTTGGAAATTGGATGCTAGAATTTAGCTCATTTCTGTATGTGTGTGACATATTGTTGACAAAACCTTGCTGATGCTTAAATCCTACAATGTATTTATTTATCAAGCAAATTGCATTCCTGTTTAGATCTGCTTGTTCATTCTTTCTGTTCTTCGTATTTTGTCCATTTTTCTGTCTTATTTTCTGCCTGTTCTCAGTGCACTGTTTCTACGAGCATCGTGTTTATTGATCTGCCTGTCTCTCTTACAACCGTTATTGTCTCTTTATATCTGCATAAATATGCAACTTTCTTATATATCTGTTGGAATGTTCTCATTTATTAGTCTTTTTCTTCATTAGTCTGTTTGTTCACTAGTCACTTTGTCTGTCAGCCTGAACAAGCCGATACAGGATGGATAAATAAAAAAAAACAACAGACAAACACACAGATAGATGAATTAGCAAACAGACAGAATAATATAATAGTTTTGTTTGTGAAAAAAACATGTAAATTTATTACTGCAAAGCTTTCAATCCGTAAGCCCGGATCTTCATCAGACAAGTGCTTATCTTCATCGGGCATACAAATCGAAAGCTTTGCAGTTATCAATTTATGTGGTGTTTCCACAAACAAAAATATATTATATGTTTTATCGCCATGCAAACGTACAAAAACTCATAACAGAATAATGATTTAAGAACCCTTTTCCATTCATCCTATATATAGAGTTGCATACAAATATATTACTACCATGATTAATTTCATCTGAACTGCCCCAGACACCTAAAAACCACTAAACATTGTGAAAGCAAATTCTGCGATTATTTACCGTAATTGTAGGATACAAAATATGATCAAGGTATATTGGCAGCAGATTTAAGAATCCTTCGCTGCCCGCTGTTGTCATTGTGTAACATGTATGGTCTGTGTCTGTCCAAGCATTTGTTCCTTGTGCCAAACAACGGTTTGCAAATAAATCCAGTAAACCCTTCAATTAGGAAAGAAAAACTAAATTAACTTTATGCTGGATAGCTATTAGTTCTAAACTATTCTCCCTAGAGGTCCAGTAAGAATAATCTCTTATTGATCCAGTGTTACTACAGGAGGAAACCTAAACTAAACTAACTTTATTTATACTGGATAGTTCTATCAGTTCTAAACAGTTCTTCCTAGAGGTCCAGTAAGGATCATCTCTTATTGATCCAGTGTTACTACAGGAGGAAACCTAAACTAAACTAACTTTATTTATACTGGATAGCTCTATCAGTTCTAAACTGTTCTTCATAGAGGTCCAGTAAGGATCATCTCTTATTGATCCAGTGTTACTACAGGAGGAAACCTAAACTAAATAACTTTATTTATACTAGATAGCTCTATCAGTTCTAAACTGTTCTTCCTAGAGGTCCAGTAAGGATCATCTCTTATTAGTCCAGTGTTACTACAGGAGGAAACCTAAACTAAACTAACTCTATTTACACTAGATAGCTCTATCAGTTCTAGACTGTTCTTTTTAGAGATTCAGTAAGAATTATCTCTTATTGATCCAGTGTTACTACAGGAGGAAAACGAACTTTATTTATACTGGATAGCGGACTATCAGTTCTAGAGAATGATCCAGCAATGGCATTTATTGGAGAAAACCTATACTGTTTCGTAGAGTCAAACTGGAAGCACTCTTATCACGTACGACTGTAGCAGGCGTTTAGTGTGGGCATTGACGCCCTCTGACTACCCAACTCCCTATCGTTCCCAACTAGCATACCAAACCTTGTAGGGGTACTTTTCACTCCCCATAAACACTAAGTGTTCTAATGTGTGAGGCAGGCCATCATCATCGTGGGCTTCAGTAGCTAGACAAAATCATTGTTGTAGCTTAGTAAAACAACTTATTGTGTTCTGATAATCTGATTGCTATTAAATTGCCATATATGATATATTATTATGTAATTATTGTAATATAAAATACTTCATAAAAATTTGATATTAGTGCAAACATATATACTCGTACAGAACAAATATAAGATTAAGATAACCATATACAATAGTTTTTCACACAACACAACAATATAATACAATACTTGTACAAACACATAAACACGGCTAGATGAGCGAAACACCAACAATTTATATAGTGTAAATGTACATGCCAAATCAACTTATTTTTAAAGCCTTACCTAAAGTAAAATAGCCATTAACAAGCGGCCCAGGCACTTCTACAAAACATAGTGTAATTCCAGTCCGTTTGGACTTATATTTCTCAACTTTCAAGCTTTCTAAAAACCGAAAAGAACAAAGTTTTTCAAAATGATCCGCCATATTGTTCGAACAAAGGAACAAAGGAAAATTTTCCACTACAATTTTATAGGAAATTCGAAATTCTCATCAAAACTGGAAACACGAGTGAGTCTGCAAATTCAAAATGGCCGGAGAAATACGGGGTGGTTTTAATTTTGAAAATTGTAATAGGTACAGTGTCTTTATTTATGAATATATGAACCAAAATACAAGGTATTTATACACTTTCTTATCCTAGGAATGCTCTTTTGGAAAAAGACGGGCTGAAACCCCCGAAAGCTCTGAAAACTGGCACTACAATTTGCGGGATAGTTTATAAAGTAGGTTTATATTATATAGAATTTTGTTGAAAGTTTTTGGCAGAAATGTGCCATAGGATAGAGGCTAAAGAGTTGTTTTATTTCCTACAGGATGGGGTGATTCTTGGTGCAGATACAAGAGCTACTGAGGTTTGAAGAGTCTTTTAACAGAGACAAATAATTTGTCACTTGGATTGCCTTAATTATAGAACCATTTAATAGTTAAAAGTTTTATATGATTGGTTGCGGTAAATCGCGTCATTACACCACTGAGAAGATTACCCATATATTAAAGTTTTGTTTGTTCATTATAGGACACCATTGTTGCAGACAAAAACTGTGCAAAGATTCATTACATTGCTCCCAATATGTAGTAAGAATTATTGGTTATTCTATTAAATGGTGGGATCAACCTCATGAGTATTATAAATCTTACTGCCTCGTACCCAGACACTTTGGTTTGTTTACATCATTATTAAGCACACATGGAAATCGATCAAATTGATCCACGCGGCCCACACAAGCCATAGAACATAGTGCCTGGGTATGAGGCAGAGTAATCTTAGCCATGGAACAGTAATTATTCTATTTAGTTAGGAATATGATTAGCTAACGGCATTGTTTATTCTTTCAGCTGTTGTGGTGCAGGGACTGCCGCAGATACGGAATATGTCACAAATCTCATATCTGCAAAATTAGAGCTACACAGTCTGAACACCGGCCGACAAGTAAACCTACTTGAATATCCTATTGCTTCACAAAGCTTTTGAAGTTTTGCAGAAAATTTATAATGTATTCTATTTTGTTTAGGCTCCAGTTGTGTCTGCTTGTCGTATGCTGAAACAGTTGCTGTTCCGGTAAGATCTAAGTAAAAAAATGACTTTACAGTATTTAGATTGGATAGTTCCAGTCATAAACTGTTTTCCCTAGAGGTCCAGTTAGAGTCATTCCTTACTATCACTTACTTTCCAACAGGTAATATGATATTGATTTTCTGTAGATATCAAGGTTACGTCAGTGCAGCTCTTGTCCTGGGTGGCGTAGATTACACTGGACCTCATCTCTACACCATTCATCCACACGGCAGCACTGATAAACTACCCTTTGTGACAATGGGTAAGGTTATAAAACACATGGAAATACAGTCCTACACTGCCCTCCGAAGGAACAAAGCTTTAGTGTTGTTAATAATTTTAATACGTTTGTTGAATAAAAGTCTCAATTTCATTCAGGTTCTGGATCACTTGCAGCCATGTCGGTTTTTGAGTCACGATATACACCGAATATGGAGGTAATTTTGATGACATTGCTGACGATTGGATAACACTTGCATTTAAATAGACAGACTGATTTACAAACAAGCAATTAAACTAACAAAATACTGAAGAAACAAACTAGAGTATCACAACAAAACAGACAACTTAGTAGCACCACCTTGCAAATAAACAAACAGATAAAAGGTCTGGATATACAACCAGAATGGTGATGAAACAAAGTGATAAATAAACAAGCAGCAAAAGGAACAAACATTTGAACAGATATACAAGCAGAGTGACCATGAATGAACAGATAAACGTACTGTAGGCTGACATTCCTGTAAAAAATCTTGAAAACTATTAATACTTCAGGTTGAGGAAGGAAAAGCATTAGTCCGCGATGCAATTGCTGCTGGAATATTCAATGATTTGGTATAAATCAACTTGTTTTAAACTAAACATTGGTGTTATTGAAATAAGCAGTCTTATCTCATTTGAACTTTTTTTCTTACTAGGGTTCAGGCAGTAATATTGATATCTGTGTTATAACACGGGAAGGTGTTGAATATCTTAGACCATATGATGTAGCCAATAAGAAAGGAGTACGTCAAGGACAGTACAAGTATCGGCGAGGCACAACAGGTTAGATCTGTCAGATTACTCCCAAAATCTACCATGTGCAAAAATATATGTGTTGCCCAAAAGTGAAAACTGTAATGGAGAAATTAAGTATATAGTATTGCTCTATCAGACAGTATCAGTTCTAACTGTTCTTCCCAGAGGTCCAGTAAGGATCGTCTGTTATTGATCCAGTGTTACTACAGGAGGAAACCTAAACTAACTTTATTTATACTGGATAGCTCTATCAGTTCTAAACTGTTCTTCCTGGAGGTCCAGTAAGGATCATCTCTTATTGATCCAGTGTTACTACAGGAGGAAACAT